CGCTGCTGCAGAGCCGGAGGGAGCGGTCAGCGGGCCCGGGGGGCACCGGGGGACACGCATGGGGACGTGCTTATGCCCTGCCAGGCTGCCCCCTCGCACCGCCGAGCCCCCCCCGCTGGCTGTGCCTCTTGCCTGGGCACTGCGCTCGACGGGAAGGGGGGCAGAGGGGGCTTAGGAGCCCGGGGGGTCCTTCTTCCATCCCTGCTGACCCGGTAGGGGGGGGAGCAGGCCAGGATGGGGCATCAGTGTAGCAGGACCGAGCTGTGCCCCCAGCAGAGCCCATGGGGCCTGGCAGAGAGCCGTGGGGCAGGGGCAAGGTGGGAGAGGGGGAGGGACCCCACCAGGATGGAGAGCAAACGAGACATGGCACAGCGAATGCATGAATGAGCCATCGCGGGACGGGGCACCACGCCACCCAGGGCTGGCACCGCTAGCCAACGGCTGGCTGGGCTCCAGCTGCCCCAGGTCAGGGCAGGATGGTGACACCGAGTGCCCTGTGCCCGGTGGTGGGGACTCAGCGACCTCTGCTCCTCAGCAGCGGCGCCCAGCGAAAGCATCATTAATGTCAGCACCCCGTGCAAAATCTGAGAGACAGAACAGCAACGCCCAAAATGGTGGCTGGGAGGATGAGGGGGTTGTGTTGTCTCAGTCACGCTCGGATTTTGTACAAGGTTTTGGGTGGTTTTCCCCGCCCCACGCAGCCGTGGGGTTGCTGTCGTGCCCGGGGCGGGCAGCGTTTCGGTGCCCTGCATGCTGACCCTCTGAGCAGTGGCCGCAGTCCCTTTGCTCCGTTTGCAAACTTCACAAACCCATGCAAGGTGTGCGTGACGTGCAGGGCTATTTTTGCCAGCCTCCTGCGTTCGGCCGTGCCTTCTGCCAAGTAGGAGGATTTTCACTGCGGTGACGTTAAGCCGAGGAGCGTGAAACGAGAGGCAGGTGTCCCTGTGGGTGACAGATGGGGAGTAGTCGGAGCTGGGTGTCACCAGCCCAGCACCAGCAGCTGATGCCAGCTCTCTGCCTGAGGCCACGGGTAGGAGGAGGAGGAGGAGGAGGGGGAAGGCACACAGCCAGGATGGGCGCCCTCGGGGCAGCTGGCACGGGGGACAAAGGCAGCAGGGCTGGGGAGGACGAGGGAGGGGAGCCCCACTGAGCATAATGGACAAGGGGACAGTGGCAGCCTTGTCCCACCCTGTGCGGGGACCCGGAGGAGCAAGTGGCACGTGGCAGCCACATCCAGCTGGGGGAATGGGGGACAGCAGAGCCCCCCTCCAGTCCCAGCCAGTGCCCAGAGGTGGCAGCAGGCCTGCAGAGAGGGGTGAAGGGGGGAGTTTGCACAGACTGTGGGCTGGGGAGGGGGAGCTGACGGTCCCCTCGCAGCAGGATGGTGAAGGCTGTGGGGCCGCACCGGAGACATGGGTATGGCCCAAACTGAGGAGGTGGGGAATGGGAGGTGGGGGCTTTGCCAGAGCGGGCAGCGGGAGCCCAGAAGCAATGGGGGTGAGTGCACAGGGCTGGGGCATGGCTGTGGAGAGCATGTTGGTGGCATCGAGTGAGAGGCAGAAGCGCCGCAGGCAGGCTGGTTGTAAGGTGCTTGGGGTGCCTGTTCCGGATGCCCGCCTCTGGCCAAAGGCAGTTTTTCCCTGCCCACATGTGGTGCCCCGAGGAGGTGACAGGGTGCAGAGCGTCCCTTGGTCATCGGCCTGAGAGATCCTCCTCCACCTGTGCCAGACCCTCCTGGACCCTCCTGGCCTGCCCAGCTCCTGCCTCCTGCAGGTGGTTAGAAGAGGGATGGTGGCCAGCCAGGTCACTGGCCTGCCCTCCCATGCCTGCAGACCTCTCGCACTGGGGTGTGCAGGGGCAGGGCACTGTCCTACCCTCTGCCCCAGCTTCTCTTTGCGGGGCCAGGAGCTGGTTTAGTGACATCTTGGTTGCTGCTGGGCAATCTGTTATCATCATCCCAGTCAGGTGGGCTAGAGATGGTGAGAGGAACATCCCCAGCTTCTCAGGAGGAAAAGAAACAGGTGCTGGGACTGGCTAAGTTCATCCTCTAAGACCTTGTGACTGCCTCTCTGCTCTGGCTGGGCATTGCAGACCTCAGAGCGCCCTGGGTGGGCTCAGGGGGCTCTGCCTGCTGTGTTGCTGCCTCCCATCCTGGTCCAGGCAGCCAGGCTGGCTCGTGTGCTGGCCCCGTGGCACTTTGCACACAGAGGCCGTCGCTGCGGCAGCTTGCCTGGCCCACGTCCCGGCTCGTCATGTCCCTGGGAAAGGCAAGCAGGGACGCGCCATTATTTGCCTTGGCACAGGAGGGGCTTGCAGAGGCCATGCTGGGAGGTCGCTGAAGCCCCAGGCAGGGGTCTCTCCCCTCCCCGTGCTGAGGCAGGGATCTGGCAGCCATGGTTCAGCAGCCTGTGACTCGGTGGCCTTTCAGGGCAAAGACTTGCTTCATGTTGATGGGGAAGCAAAGCAAGGATGGGGCAGGTCCTGCGCGGCTGGTAATAGCTGCAGGCTGGCGATAAGGCCGTGAGAAAATCCAGGGAGTCCCAGCGGGGCTTAGTACTTGAGCAAAAATTAATGGTGTGGAAAATATCACTGCTGCAGCTGGAGGAGAAACACCCGGTGCCCTGCAGGAGGGGCTGAGGGTGGGCAGCCAGGGAAAATTTGGGGGTGGAGTAGAGGATGGGCACCAGGGTTGGGACTGCAGCAGGGGGAATGTCATGCCCTGCTGAGGCAGGCAGGGAGGGCTTGTCCCCCATCTGCAGGAGGGTCCTTGTTAGAGAGGACCTAGTGGCCTTGGTCCCTGAGTCTCGCAGTGGGGCTGAGCGTGCATTCCCCTGTTCACACACACGCATGTGTGGTTTGAAGCTAGGCAGGGCAAGAGGGATGGGAGCAAAGCATGAGGGCTCCAGGTGGGTTTGGGTCTTGAGATTTTTGGCTTGGGAGTGTCCAGCCGTGGGCTCTTGCAGCCAAGTCACCCCAGGGTGGATGAGTGCCACCATCCCGGCCAGGCCGTCTGCCTCCCGGCTGGCTCCTTGCCCGCCCTGCTGTGGCCACCACGCCAGCTCTCACAGCAGCAGCGTGGCGAGACGTGGGGCTGGCGGGGGGGTCCCCGAGCACCGTGTTCCCAGGCGAGGGGGGAGCCGAGCGGGGTGCTGCGGATCCGGGGAGGGATGGGTGCCACTGCCACCACTGCGCCACACGCTGTTTACTGTTTGGGCTACAAGGCAGCTTTGTTCTTCTCCTCAGGACACTCTGAATAACAACTCTCTGGGGAAAAAGCACAGTTGGCAGGAGCGGGTGTCCCGGTCGTCGTCCCCTCTGAAAACGGGTGAGTTCTTGGCCTGTTGGCCAGGGGCAGCTACTTGCACCCTTTCGTGGCTCTTGGAAGCCTGGGAAAAGTGGTGTCGGAGCAGGAAGTTGGGGAAAACATTCCACATGGATGCAGAATGCATGTCCATCTGGAGTCTGGGTGGCATCCCTGACCACCTTCCCTGGCAGGGAGCATCAGCCTCTGCAGGGCTGTCAACGCTGCTCTCCTTCCCCTCCAGGAGAGCAGACCCCTCCCCACGACCACGTTTGCCTGAGTGATGAGGTCAATCACCAAAACAGCACAACCTCCACCAAAGACCGGGGCACATCCACGGAGAGCCCGTGCCGGCGCACAGCGGCCACCCAGATGGCACCCGCCTGCGTCGCCTCATCTCGGCCACCTGAGAAGCACCAGGCCACCAGCCGGCCCCCACCGCACGGTGCCAGCGTAGTGGTGGTGACAACGAGGGGCCCCGAGGCCCACCGGGACCGCATCCGCTACCAGACGGACGTGAGGCTGGAAGCCACAGAGGAGATCTACCTGACGCCTGTGCAGAAGAACTCAGACCCCCTGGAGACTGACAAGCCCTTCCTGTCTCAGTCCAGTGAGAATCGCATGTCCATCAGCTCTGACATCGACACCTCCGGGTATTCGGCCCTGGCAGGGAAAACCAACCCCTCCATCAGTGAGGAGGACGAGGTGCTGGACTACATGTCCTCCCCCGACAAGACGAACCTGCCCAGGGCCTCCTGCGGTGGCGGGAGCGGTGGCTGCCGGCCAGGGCACAGCCTTCAGAGAGCCTCCGTGAGTTCGGACACCAGCGCCCTCTCCTACGACTCGGTCAAATACACACTGGTGGTGGACGAGAACGTGCAGCTGGAGCTGGTCAGCCTCAAGCAGTGCTACTCAGGCTACAGCGACGAGAGCGACTCGGCCACCGTCTACGACAACTGCGTCTCCTCGCCCTACGAGTCAGCCATTGGCGAGGAGTATGAGGAGGATGCGCTGAAGCGTGACTCGGTCTGCCTCTCCGAGGACTCCACCCCTGAGGCGGACATCCACTTCTCCAAGAAGTTCCTCAATGTCTTCATGAGTGGCCGGGCGCGCTCCTCCAGTGAGTGCTGGGCGATGGGGGGAGGTGGGCTGGTGGCTGCCTGCCCGGGCAGCCCTGCCTATCCCTGGTATGAGGCTGAGGGCACACTCAGGAGATGGAAAGCCACCGGCAGACATGAGCCCCAGCTCTGCTTTTCTGCAGCATGTGGCTTTGTCCCGGGTGGTCAGGAAGGCATGGGAGGGCTTGGAAAAGCCTTGTGACTTGAAGGCGGAGGTGTTTCAGGCTGCTTTTTTGGCTAGCCCAAGGTACGGCCATGCTGAGGAGGAGGCTGAGTGGTCTCACAGGGGGACAGCATCCCTCCTGGAGGGCCACCCACCTCCCCAAGCCTGGAGGAGCACCGGGGCTGGTGGCATGCCCCAGCAGGCAGGGTTTCCCACAGTGTGGCTGGTGCCACAGTGCTGGTGACACCAGGTGACACAGCTGCGTGGGTTGGCGCAGGGAGGTCCCCCAGCAGGGACCACTGGCCACCAGTGCAGCATCTTTAGCCGTGCCTTCCTCTCCTGTGGCACCGCATGGCTTTGTCTTGGCCGAGCCATCCTCCAGGAGCCTCACCATGTCCTTCCCTTGGCTGTGGTGCTGACCCTGCAATGCTGAGGCGTCCCCCTCTGCCTTCGTCCCCAGGTGCCGAGTCCTTCGGGTTGTTCTCCTGCGTGATCAACGGGGAGGAGCAGGAGCAGACCCACCGTGCTGTCTTTAGGTGAGCTTGCAGGCATGAGCGGTGTCCCCAGCCTCTCAAGGAGGAAAGGTGGTGCTGCCCTCCCACCACGGTGGGGACAGCCCACCCCAGTGTTTCCAGGCCCGTACCTCATGCCCTGCTCAGGAGCAACATCTGCCCCGTCTGGTGCAGGGGCAAGCCAGGACCTCTGGGGAGCAGCATGGGTGGTGCCATATGGGATACCCTTGCCATAGGTGCCAGGATGCTGTTTTATTTTGAGCCTAAACCTGCTCTGATGCTTTATTTAGTATCTAATTAGACCTGCCAGGGTGCTGCCTGCCTGGGCTGTTGGTGGGTTTTGTGTTGCCCCAGCAGGCCACCACCGCTGAGAAGGCCACCAGCACTGCTGGCCAGCCAGGTGCTAGTGCCTCTCTACCCAGGTTTGTGCCTCGCCATGCGGATGAGCTGGAGCTGGAGGTGGACGATCCTTTGCTGGTGGAGGTGCAGGCAGAAGACTACTGGTATGAGGCCTACAACATGCGGACGGGTGACCGGGGCATTTTTCCTGCCTACTATGCTATCGAAGTCACCAAGGACCCAGACCATGTAACAGGTACCAATCCTCTGCACGCAGCCTGCTGCCATCCCCTATCTTGCATCCACCTCCTCTGCACTGAGCGGAGGCTGGAGCTGAGCAGGGGGATGGAGGGAGGACCAAGCCGGGCACCCAGCAGGGAATGATGGGCAGCTTCTGGTGGGATGCTGTGACCTGGCACCTGGTGTTGCTTTTCTTGGAAATGAAGCTTTTCGTGGGCAGGGAAACATGTAGGGGTGGCAATATGGAGAGGGGAGGTGGAGCTCAGCCCACATGCCTGGCCGTCTGAGATGATCCCCACTCCCTGCTCTCTTCCAGCTCTGGCCAAGAGCAGTGACTGGGTGGACCAGTTTCGGGTGAAGTTTCTTGGCTCGGTGCAGGTTCCCTATCACAAGGGCAATGATGTGCTGTGTGCGGCCATGCAGAAGGTATTGTCCCACCCCATCCCTGGGAGCAGGCAGGCCTGCTTCTCTTGGCAGCAGGGCAGAGCCTCGCTGGGTATGGAAGGGGTGAGCCATCATCACTGCTCACGAGCTCCAGGGCTTTGCCTCTCTGTCTTCTCCCCCAGATTGCCACCACACGCCGCCTCACTGTGCACTTTAACCCACCCTCCAGCTGCGTCCTGGAGATCAGCGTGCGTGGGGTCAAGATCGCCGTGAAAGCTGATGACTCCAAGGAGCACAGCAAGGTAGTGCCCCACTTTATGCTTGTCTCGTTCCTTCCCTGGTGCTACTCTGAGCTGGCTGGTGCACTCTGTGCTACAGGTTGTGTTTGCATATGAAAACTGGGGGCCTCCACCCCATGTCTACAGGTGTTGGAAACACCATCAGTGGGGTTGTAGGGTCACCATCAGGGACCCCTGTGCCTCACAGGGTCCCAGCTTTGAGCCACGCCACTGGCTGTTGCCCTCGCAGCTGCCAAGCACATCGCTGCACTGGGATGCTGTGAGCTGAGCCGCACTGGTAATCTGTCAGCTGCTACTATTTTGAGTGGTGTCCTCCAAATCTGCCCTGTAATCTCTTTAGCTGGCTGGGGTAGGCTGCTGATTAGCGTTCTGCGTAAGTAGCCTAGCAAAGCACCGTGAGATGCTGGGCAGAGGCAAGCGAGGGCTTTGCAGCAGGCTGTTGGGAAACCTCCCCTACAGCTGGGGATGGGAGTACTTCATGGCTTGGAATGCTGTGACAGGGCTGGGCTGGGATTTCTACAAGTCTTGCCTGCATTTAGAGGATGCCATCAACTTAGCTGTGCTTTATAACTCCTATAAATAAGTTCTCGTTTCTGGCTGGGACCCTTTGAACAGCCAGGCTTGAATGACCTATTTAGTTCTAAGTTTCACATTCACCTTCTATCTGCCAGTATTTCTGAGAGCCTTTTTTGGCAAGGGAGAAGGGCTCTGTGTGTTGAGTGAACAGCAGCACTGACTCTAGCTTGAGTACAGCCTAACTCCAGGGAAACACTGCAGAAGCTGCTGGGGGTAGAGGCTGCTGGGGTAGGAGCCAGCAGGGCTGCCTGGAGGAGCACCCTGTGTGCAGGTGTTTGGGGCCATCCTGAAACTGCTGCTGGTAGCAGCTCAGGATCGGGCTCCAATTCATTTCACTTGCTTGGTCCAAGTGCATATTTCTAGGGGCCAGAGACCAGCGGCCCCACAGGGTGATAGGGAGGAAAGCTTTGACAGCTTGTCTCTCTTTTCCTCCAGGTAAACAAGTGTAGCCATTTTTTCCAGCTGAAGAACATTTCCTTTTGTGGGTACCATCCAAAGAACAACAAGTGAGTAGTAGGGAGGTGCGGCACAGCTCTCAACTCTAACAGCTCATCACGGAGGCTTTGCTGCCTTCCTGCTCCCTGGGGGCAGCATAACGGGGGCTGGGAAGGGAAAGGGAGGTTCCCCAGCACCCCAGTCCTGAGAGCTCCCCTTCCCCTGTGAGCCCAGTGCTGCAGCTTCATGCAAAAGCAGCCTTTAGACGGGACTTCATCCCAGCTCTGGGCATGGGTCGTGGCAGCTGGTGGCTGCTAAGGTTTGGGAGTGGTGCAGGTCCCAAACCCCTATGCTCAAGGGTTGGGCACACCTCGGGGCTGCTGGGGGTGCCTGCTTGTCTGCTGGGCCAGTCACGCCCACTCTCTCTGCCCTCAGATATTTTGGGTTCATCACCAAGCACCCTGCTGACCACAGATTTGCCTGTCATGTCTTTGTCTCGGAGGAGTCCACGAAGCCACTGGCAGAGTCTGTAGGGTGAGTTGTGGCTGGGCTTGCTCCCGAAGGGCGGGAGGAGCGAGGCAGCCAGGCTGAGTCCTGCCATCTCCTCATACATGGGGGGCTTGGACCTGGCCCCAAGGCTGGCCCTCTTCCCTCAAGTGAGAGTCTTGGGGTAAGAGCCAGAGCTGGCAGGGCTGTGGGCAGCATATTCCTGACAGCACTGGAACAAGTCCCAGTGCAAGGCTTTGCAGGCAGATGGCTGAAAGTCATGCGCTGTGCAGGGGATGAGAGCAAGGATGGAGACCCTGTGGCTCTGAGGGCAGCTCTGGGTGCTAACGCAGGAGGGGCCAGGGGCTGGAGGGTCAAAGTGGTCGCAGGGTAGGGAGCAAGGGTGAGAAGGGAAGCGTGGCTCTGTAAATGCCTCGTGGGGAGGACGCTGCTCAGCTTTGCCTGGTGCTGTGTTGCAGGAGGGCTTTTCAGCAATTCTACAAGGAGTATGTGGAGTATACGTGCCCCACGGAGGACATCTACCTGGAGTAGGGGCTGGCACTGGCACCTCCTGCACAGCCAGGGCTGCAGTCTGGCCCCTTCCCCGTGTCGTGCATGGACAAGAGCTGCTTTGAGCCTGAAGGAGGAGCGGGCCCGGGGCAGGGCTCCCCGGGGCACGGAGCGCCGCCTCTTTTCGTGACTCCCCTTCCTCAGGCTGGGGGGGACGGGAGGGGGGAGGGCTGGACAAATTGTGTTTATTGTACAAAATACTCTTAGTTTATTCTATTTGGAGAAGCACCGCTGGGTGCCCTGCCTGTGAGCGGTGGAGGGGTGGGCAGCAGCGTGCTCGGGCCCTTTCCTGCTGCAGGCTGGGGTGACAGCATCTCCTTGTGACCGTGGCCCAGCTTCCCGTTACATCCCTCTGGGGTGACTTTTAATGCAGTGGCAGAGTCGGACTCTTGCAGTATGAAGACACAGCAGCTACAGCAAACAAGACCCATGATGTGCTGGCTCCTGCCTGGGAGATGGGCTTGCCCTGGGCAGGCATCACCCCTCTGCCAGGCCTGGGGGACAAGGCTGCTGGGCAGGGATGACAGAGGGACCCCCACTCTCCTCTGCCAAAGCCAGTGCCAGGATGAGCTGAGACAGCTCACCCCTGCCTCTGCCCCCATCCCTGTCCCTCCCATCTTGAATCTGTACCCTGGGGACAGAGAAAAATTTCCCCCCCATACCTCCCTGCAGTAACTACACCCTTCGGAGGGGACTCTTTCTCTGCCCCTTACCCCCTCTTCCCCTAGCTGCAGGCGGCAGAGGCAGTGGCAGGGCTGGGCCACCCCAGAGCAGTGGGGCTCAGCCCCTGGGCCAAGCTGGGTGCCTGCCAGAAGCAGGGCAGGGAAGAGCTAAAGCCTGCAGGGAGCCCTGCAAAGCACCAGGGAGGTAGAAGAGCTCTCCTGCTCCCTGCAGCCAGTGGTCTCTGTGCTTCAGCTGGATCTGCTGTGATGGCAGCAACTATTAAATATGATGGTTCATGGAGCACGGCTGCTGTGCTGTTTGTGTCCCACCACAGCGGGTTTAGATCCAGACTACTACCTTCCCTTGGGACCCCAAGAGGAGCTGGAGCTGCTCAGGTTTGGCCTGAGAACCCTGCTTGCAATCCCCAAAGGCCAGAGATTATCATGTGATGACCAGAAGGGACTGCTGGAGGTCATCTGCTCCCCTCCCCACCCAAAGCAGAGCTTACCCTGAGCCCCCATACCTCACATCGGCCCGTGCTGCAGCAGCAGAGGGCAGGCAGGGAGGTCCCCGAGGCTGGGCTGCGGTGGCCACAGTGGCACGCTGGCTCACAGGCGGGCATCGTAGTAGTACTCCAGCAAGTCAAGCTTGTCACGTTTTCTCTTGCCAGCTTTGTGCAGCCATGCTGGCCGTGCCTGGGCCACCTGGGTCCTGAAGCGAGGTTGCTTGGGTTTGATGCCATAATCTGCAGGTAGAGCAGAGAGGCTGGGCTCAGCCCTGCACTGCTCACAGGCCTGGGGACAACCACCCGGCTGGAGGGCTGAGTGCATGCAAAGGGGGTTCAGGGGGGTGAGGAGAGCACTGTACCGTCCACCAGGCCAAAGTGCTGCTGTGGAAGCTCCAAGGGAGCAGAGAAATCCTCAGGGACTGAGTAGCTGACCCTGCTGCAGAGGAAAACCAGGGGCAGAAGTGAGCCAAGACCCTCTGGCGCTCACCCATGCTGGCACAAATGCTCCCATGTGCCACTGGCTTGTTTTCACCCAGCCTGGCCAGCTCTTGAGGGCCACAGTTGCCAGCCCAGGCCTGGGCCAGGAGCCCTGGGGTACCTCTGCAGGTACCAGGGCAGGGAGGAGTAGGGAAGTGCCATCACCTCTGGCGCAGGGGCAGCGGGAGAGCAGCCCCCAGCAGCAGGGTGAGCAGCAGGAGCCAGCACCGCATGCTGCACCCGGACATCAGCTCCACGGTGAGGTCACAGAGGAGCCACCGCGGTGGCCCAGGGACACCAGCTGGGCGGGGCAAGCACCTGCCCGGGTGCTGCTGCCTACCCTCTCCTGCCACGTAAGCTCCTGGTCCCAGACTGCCTGGTCCTGCCCTCCCCTGCAGCCACAGAGCCAGGGCTCTTTCCCCTGTCCCTCCAAAAGCAAACCCCTTCCTCTCAGTACCTCCGTCACCAGGACTGAACCTCCCCAACGCTTCACAGACTTTGCGGTCTTCACCTTCCTCTGCTAAAAGCCCAAATGGAGCACAGTCCCTTGCTCACAGCTTTTCCACACTGTCGCTGCTGCGTTGCTGCCAGCTGAGGGGGCAGCACAGAACCCACACCCTGCCAAAGCCCTGCAGTCCCCAGCTGCAGTGGCCCATTTCAGATGTGTGGGGCTCCCCCCCCGACTTCAGACGCTGTGACCTCCTGAGCTCTGCAGAGGGCTGGTAGCTGCCTGGGGGCGGGTAATCCAGTGCCACCAGCTGGCTATTCCTTTGTCCTGGCCAAGGATCCTAAGCAAATCGATGCCTCAACTGTCCCTGAGGCAGCAGAGCAGATGCCAAAAGATGGCCAGGGCTGTCCAGGCCTCTCCTTAGCTCCTTTATTAAGTGTGGCACAGCAGTATTTGCTGAATTAATCTCTTCATTTCTCCTCTGCCCTTGGCCAAGCCCCTGAGCACTGGCTGGCAGCCATTCTGCAAACCCTTTTAGCACACAGCCTGCAAACTGCAGCTCTCTCTCCCCACCAGGGAACCCCAGGAAACTGGGGACTGAAACGGGCACCTGGAGTTACAGAGGCTACAGGCACAGGCTGAGCAACCTGTGGGGCCCTGCCTGACACCGGCTAGAGAAAAAGGCTTCTAAGGGACAGCGCATCCCAGGGTGGACAACTGCAAAAACTGCTCTGAGAGAGGTCAGATATGAGGGGATCCTATGTAAAGATGGAGAGGTCCTTGAGCTCTGTTCTTTCCATTCAGTCAGTTTATTTGACAGACAAGCCTGCTCCAAGCACAGCAGCCAGGCATGGCCAACACAAGCAGGCTGCAGGTCAACCTCAGCACCATGAGGCGGGAGACAATGCTCTCCAAAAGATCACTATGCTGCCCGGTTTTATTATACTGCAGCTGTACAAAAGGAGAAAAATCAAGTGCTTAAAAAAGGAAGTTGTCCCATCATCATCATCACTGCAGCCACAGAATGGTCCAGAGAAAGAGATGGCCAAAGTCTTGCCACGCATGTAGTGTCCATCATCCACTGCTAGATCTGTTAAAAAAATTACATACACCCCCCTCCCCACCGTGCAGATCAGGAGCTTCTCAGTGATGGTTTAACTGAAAATTAGACATTATCAACATCCCTCCCCGAGCCTGCTTGCCCTTAGAAACGTCCAGCCACAATCTTAGTAGAGAATAATCATCATCTTCTCATCAGCCCCAGTTATAGAAATAGATTTTCTGCCAAGCAGGCAAGTAATCCATCAGTGGCCCTGAAACAAGAGAGCAGAGGGATCACACACGTAGAAAGGCAAGAATTTGAAGCTGTATGTATATGGGGTATATCCCCCCTTCTTATGACACCAAACAATCCCAAATCTCCAGTTACACAACTCAGATGAACCCAAGAACAGAACAGTTACTTTTGCTGAGATGGGAGACAACTTTAGGCTGTGGTGCCAGAGATCAGAGCAGGACCAAATGGGGTGTGAAACACAGTGTGGGACACCACTCCCTCAGAGCCGAGAGTTCCAAGCTCCAGTGGGAAGGGGGTCTGCAACATGCGAGGGGAAAACCCACGTGCAGCAAGTCAGGAGGATGCTGCTATGGCACAGGGAAGACAACTCAGCAATAACGAGCAGGTGCAAAAACAGAAGCAACTGCTGTGGAGTGAAAATGCTTACGTAGCACATGGCTTAATGCAAGCTCCAAAGCTTCTCTGAAATCACCAACTGGAGGAAGCAGCTCCTGAGCTAGCCAGCTTTGTGACCTCCCCAAAGGAAGGACAATCCCACGATGCCAGGCTGATCTAATGCCATGAATCACCCCACAGAAGGTTTCACATCGGCAGGGAAGTGGGGGAGGTGGAATTCTGGCCCACAAGACCTGGCCCTTTGATTTACCATCGGTTCCTGCCTAGGTCGACACCTCTCGGCACCCATTTACCCCTCATGTCTGCGCTGCAGACTGGAGATCAAGGAAAAATGTTCAGAAACAGGGCTGCAAAGCAGTTGTGGAGCACCAGCTGAGGTGCAGCAAGAGAGCCCAGAACAGGCCTAGGTGGCAGAGACCAAGCTCTGCGGCCTGGGAGGGCAGAGTTTTACCACTGTGGTTGAGCCAGGAAACAATTCTTCCTTTCCTCTTCCAGTTTAAAACAACATAAGCATCAAACACAGGGTGCACTGGTGCCAACCATTTTAGGGACTTCCCAATTCCTTCCTCGGGTTGGAAACCAATTGACAAATGTCCTGCCCAACTCCCCTGGTTTTTCCTCCATCCAACAGAACATGGGGATATAGCAGTGGGGCCCACTTACGTGTGACAAAGCCAACTCCAGGCACGTAATCAGCCAACAAGCGCAGAAGGAGGATGATCCTAGCCCTAGGAAGGGAGAGAGTATGAACGAGTCCAGCGGGATACCTCCTGCCCCAGCTGCTGAATGCACGAACAGCAATGGCAGCTGTTATGCAAGGCTCAGATGAACCTGGTCAGAGGCACCCAGACCTTTTCAGATCTACTCACCCAGTCCCCTGATGCTACTTCTGTTAAAAGAGAAATTTTCAGCAAAAGCCCAGCAGGGGCCCCTTACTCTGAGTATCGGTCATAGAAAGGAGATCTCAGCAGGTAGTACAGCAGTAGGAGGGTTCGTCGCCTCAGCTCCGCTCGCTCTCGCCTGTTCAGGTCTTTCAGATCACTCAGCAAGCTCAGACTGGAAGGAGAAGAGCAGAGAGCTAACTCACAGCAACGGCAGTCAGAACGGAAAAGAAGTGGGTTTCTAAACGCCCTCTGTTCTCAGCTCCACACAGAGCAGGCTCCACCAGCCCAAGGACAGAGAGCGCTCAAAGTGTTGCAGAAGATACCTGAATGTGTCAGCCTCACAGCTAAAGACCAGCCCCCTGTGTGTATTTCTGTCAGTAGGCCCTGCCCAGGACTGGGGAACAGGGGAAAGCATGATGCTCAGACACCACCAACCTCAAGCACCCACAAAGACTTTTCCTCAGACTGACCTTGAGATGTCCAGGACTGCAGAGAGGAGCCAGGGTTTCCACGATCTCTGGCCCCACACTCCTAAACTCAGTACTAGGAACGCACAGTCAAGGAATGGAAAGAACCAGAGATATCTAACAAAAGGCATGCAGATAAGTGAGCCCCCAGGTACCAGCAAAGCTCTGCTGAGTGCAGAACACCCGCTAAGGCAGTGTTGGGGGCATCCAGGGAAGGGGCTGGAGGCCTTGTGCCCACAATTCCAGCAGCTAAGGCTAGTTTTCAAGTTCTAAGAGAAGGGAGGAGGCAGCCCAAGGCCCCTGCCCAATCAGAGCAGCAGCAGGGAGAGAGAACCCAGTGTGGCACTGCCCTGAACCAGGGCCGAGCCCACAGCAGCACCCTCTGACAGCACCAGGGTACGGTGTGAGCCTGCACGCGGTCAGGGCCGGATACGGTGGAACAAAGGGCGGGTAACGTAGAGGGATTCTGCGATGGTTTCTTGGAGACCCAGAGGGGTGGGAGGCTGGTTCAACTCCTCTGCTCTTCGGCTCTGTGACTCCTCCCTCTGCTGGGGGGATCCCCAGTGCCGGGACTGCAAGGATGGGGCTGAAACAAGCAGATCCAGTTGCTAACACAAATAAATCCTTCCTAGCACGCTTCCCCACACCACCCCCTGCTTCTTTCTGCACCGTGAAGGTGTGAAATGGGAAAGCTTGAAGAGCTATGCACACAGCATCTGCTGTGGCTGACCAGCACCCTCAGATTGCCTCCAGAGGGGACAGAGCAAGGAGAGGGACTTGTAAGGTCCGTGCTCCTCAAAGCCTAACCACACTGAAGGGTTGTCTTCATTGATCACTTAGGAAAATACAATGGAAGTGCTAGTCTTGCAGCACGTGCCTGAATCCTCATTGCTTTGATATCCCTCCCCATACAGGGCCTGGTGACTAGATATGGCCCAATACAAGATTCTGCTCTTTACTGCTCACACCCAGGTCATACATAAAGGGCACAGAGCAGAAACAGCTCAGGCAAGGAGAGAAAACAGGCTCAGCTACTTACTGCTCTGGAGAGAGCGCACAACACGGCTGGAACGCCTGCCAACATAGGTCTGATCCTTCCCTGAGGAGGTGTCTTCCATGTCTGCAGGAGAAAACAGCCACAGGGGTCAGGCTCCAAAGGAACACAGCTCACCACAGAGCTGGCAGCACCCTGCCCTACATTGCCATCACAAAGACCAGACTGAAAGTTTGATCTAGCTCAAACCAGAGCATTCTGAACGGGCTAACACTATGCAGAGGGTGAAAAGGTCCATCTGCCTGATGTTGCCTAGGCCTAGGATCTCTTTCCTCACCATTATGCCACACAGCTTGAGTTCAGTCAGTGGTTCCAGGCTTGGGGTCCTCCACCCCCTTCTTCCCAACTGCAGGACAACACTGTCACTAAGTTAACTCGTGCTCTGCAGAGGGTGGAGAGTTCAGTGTAGCTTAGCTTTGTGTACTGAAGCCTTGCAGTTCCCTGTACCACCCAAGCCACTGCTCTGAGGAATATTTCCTAGCAGGGCGAGACACGTGGCCCAGCGAGGCGCCAAGCCAATGATGATAGCACTGCAGGCTCACCTTGGGGGTGGAGAGGCTGCTGCTGCTCCCTGTTCAGTGGCACGATGGGAGGAGATGTCTGGATGCCAGCTTTGTACCACAGCAGGAGCAGGAGACGAAGGATGGCTCTGTGAACAGACACATGGAAGCCTTCAATACCAGGCTACGGAGCTGGGTTCCTGTGGCGTGGGAAAGGTGACATCCACAGAACAGGGAAACACTCCGGTCTGCTCAGGGCAGCTGGCAAGGTAAGAGGGATAAGAGTCCCCTTCCGTGGCACAGCATTCTGCACTCTGTGGGGCCCCAAATTCCCCCAGCCTCAGTGACCAGCAGCTCAGCCCTGCTTGGGCTTTTTCCTGGGGTACTGGTGAGCCCCCTCCCCATCCCCTTTCTGAGCCCACACTGCCCATTCCCCTCTGCCCATGGCACTTACTTAGCCAGCTGGATGAGGACAATGATGGTCCACCGGCCCATCTCCCCCCACACCCTGGCTGTCCCCATCTCTGCAAAGACTTCCACACATTCTAGCACACTCAGCCAGGTCAGCAGCTTCTGCTGGGGCAGCGACTGCAAAACACAGAGGGGAGGAGCGGGACAGGATGCAGGTTCTGCCTGGGAGTTAAACAGGGCAGAAGCACAGCCCAGTCTGGTCAGACCCTCAGAAATGAGACTGGATGGCCTTGGAAGTCATAAAACAAGAAGTGGTGCCTCCACTGCAGCCAGAGTCTACACACAAGCCCACTTCTCTACCTCCAAGCAGGGGCAGAGTGAGACATCACAGCATCACACAGAGCTGCTACCCCAAAACCAGGGAAAACATCACAGATGTATCTTAGATTTCCTTCTACCCTAGCTGACATAGCGGGACAGTCTCCTGGGTTTTGGCACTGAACTCCATAGCAAAATTCCTTCCTCCTCCTTGTCCCAGAGTTGGGATACACAACAAACCCCTGCCCCACCATCCAGGTTAGCCCTGATGATGGGGCGCGCTTGGAGTAGCAGGAAGGGGATCCAGCTCTGCAGTCACGCCAGAGCAAATGCCTGCTGAATGCAGCATCAGTCCGGATTCCAGGCATGAACCCCAAGACAGTGGGTGCACTTCCAGCCTGGGTCCCTGCTCCCCACGTGGGAACTTGCTGGTGCTGTCAACCACAAGATTTAACCCGTTAAAAAGCATCAATAAAGGTAATACAGCTGAAATTCACTTCGGCCTTAACAACCAGCGAAGCAAGTCTTTCACATTTCTGTTTGTTACATGCCTGACACTCTAGCCAGAGAGCTGCCTACACCCAAACCCACACAGCAGGCAGGATTGCAACAGAAGAGGCCTGTCCCGAAAAAACCACCACCCTCCTCATTCCCCTCAGGGTCTAACAAGTGCTGGGAGGCAGCCTGAGGCTCTTGCAAGAGAGACACAGAAGCAAGGTGCTTATATTTGTTTTGCTCAATAACATATGCAAAAGAAGAGTCTGAGGGATGGAATCAAAGCTTCACTGCTCCACAGCCACTGCTATGGAAACAGCGATGGTTATTCGGCAACACCTTTGCCTAGCTCAAGTTCTGAGCATCTCAGAAAACCAGTGGAGCTCCTGGTGCAAGTCAGGGCCTGATTTCTGTGGTCCAGCAAGTGCTCTGGCCACTGTTCTAAGCCAGGAGCTAAGGGGCAGGGCTGCTGTTTACCTGCCTCTAGCCTCTACATATCTGACAACAAAGAGAGGCCACAGCAAAGACCTATTAGTTTCTACAGACACTCCCTGAAAGCTTCTGCAAGGAAAAGAGCATGTGTCCCAAATCCTCCTCCCACACACTCCAGCCTTACCACGGGTAGGCTCTGCTGCAGCTCCTTTCGGAGAATCCAGTCGTTTAACAGCACTAGGAGGTTGGAGGCAGAGTACACTAGAAAAGGAAGAGAAGGAACACTGCAGTTACAGAATGCACACAAACCAAACCGGGGCTGCTACCTCTTCCCCGGGGAGGGGATAAGGGAAGAAGGGCAGTAAGACGTGCAGATTCCTCCCATAGGCTGCCGAAGGATGCAGCCAGCCGTGAAGAAAACAAGGTGTTCGGGGAAGGGCCCCGCATACACCGGCGCAAAGGCACACCACCAGCCCCGCCGGCTGACCGCTGCCCACCTACCCAGCTCCGACAGCGCGTAGGAGTCCGAGAAGCGACCTGCGAAGGGAGAAGAGCGGCTACCGCTGGGCCCCAGTCCCCCGCACAACCCCCGGGGCAGGTGCCGGAGCGGGGTCCAGGCCAAAGGCCAAGGCCCAGGCCCCGGCGGGAGAACCGAGGGCCCGGACTTCCCCCTCCCGCACCTGGCAGCAGGTAGGAGAGACCCCGCACAGTGCCCTCCAGCTGGGCCGTGGCGGCCGGGTGCCGCCTCACGTACTCCTGGTAGCGCTGGCACAGCAGGCGCAGCCGCGC